GTCTTCCACTTGTACAAGACATACGGCCCATAAAAGAAAAGAAGAGATAGAGAGAGTGACAGAAGAAATATAGCGGTAACCTCAGTTGGCCTTATAGGTAAGGTCCGCTTGGGGCAAACGCCAGGGGAACGTCTCACGACGCCGGGCGGGGAGACAGCAATAGCTGAGAGGTCGACTGCGCAGCAGTCGGTTCCACATCTCTGTTTAGCGTTTATGTGCAGTTTGTGGGTCAGGGACAGGGATAGGTGTAGGGGAGTAAGGGAACTGACAAGCTATCACCGAACCGAATCTCCCAAAGTCAAGTCTGGACTGAGCAGACTCGGGCGCACTTTGGCGCGCGGAAGGCGTACGCCCCTCATGCCCAGCAGAAGAAGAGAGAGAGAGAGAGAGAGAGAGAGAGAGAGATTGAGAGAGAGAGAGAGAGAGAGAGAGAGAGAGAGAGCGAGCCAGTAGAAGCAGAAAGGGGTGATAGAGGAGAGAAGAGGGAGGAGCAAGGTAAGAAGACATGTAAGCTCCTCTTCTCCTTTATCTTCTTATCTTTCTTTTGCAAGAAAAACCTGATATGGACTTTGGAAGGGGAAATCCAAGAGACCCTCTCCCTCGTTTTCTCCCTGCTTCTCTCAATGCCTCGCCCTGTCTCATTCGCTCTCCTCTTCTGCAAATCGCTTTCTTTGTAGTTCTTCCTTTTCATTCCTCTCACCTTCCTGCCCCTCTTCTAATTCTACGACACATACTAATCAGGAAAGAAAAGAAAGAGAGAGAGAGAGAGAGAGAGAGAGAGAGAGAGAGAGAGAGAGAGAGAGAGACAGCCCGACAAAGAAAAAACGAGACCGAAAGCGAGAGTAGGAGCGAGAGACGGAGAAAAAGAGCAGAGGTAGAGGGAGAAGCAAGGTAGGAAGAAATGTAAGCTCAACCTCTCTACTATCTTCTTACCCTTCTCTTTTGCAAGAAAGAAAACTAATGTGAACCTGAGAAGGGGAAAGCCAAGAGACCCTATCTCTCTTGTTCTCCCACGGCCTATGCTTCTCTCTATGTCTCGCCCTGTCTCATTCCCTCTCTTCTTCTGCAAGTCTCTTTCTTTGTAGTTCTTCTTTCCATTCCTCTCACCCTCCTGCGCTTCTTCCAATTCTAATTACGAGACATACCACTCAGAAAACAAAGAATAAGTGAGAGATGGAGGAAAACCCTTGCCCTGAAGCCCGCTGAAAAAAGAAAGTAAGACAGAGCGCGAGAGGGGGGTGGGGAAGAGAGAAGAGGGAGGAGCATGGTAAGAAGAAGGTGTATCTTAGGGTAGTTTCATGGTCCCTTAACATGGGCCCTCAAAAGGGGACCCCGTATATACCCCTTATGTGCCATGGACCTTTAGGTACAATGTGAGCACTTGTCCTTGTTTTACTATTCAAAGCCTATCCTGTGGACAAGAAGGCCGTGAGAAGCCTAATCTGTTTTTTCTTTTCAGCAATCTCACTCCCGCTCTGCCTCAGCAAATCTCTTTCTTCCTTTCCATTCCTTTCAACCTCCTCCTCCTCCTCTTCCAACTCTACGAGACGTACCACTCAGATAAGAAAGAGAGAGAGAGAGAGAGAGAGAGAGAGAGAGAGAGATAGAGATAGAGATAGAGAGAGTAAGATCGATAGCAAGAGCGACGGGGCGATGTCTCATTCTCCCTCTCCTTCTTCAAATCTTTTTCTTTATAGTTCTTCCTTTCATTCCTCTCACTCTCCCCCCCTTCTAGTTCTACGAGACATACCACTCAGAAGAGAAAAGAAAGACAGAGACAGAGAGTGAGAAAGAGAGAGAGAGAGAGAGTGATGCGTGGGGGTGGGGGTGGGGAAAACCTTGCCCTCAAGCCCGCTGAAAGAAAGAAAAACAGAGCGCGAGAGGGGGGCGGGGAAGAGAGAAGAGCGAGGAGCATGGTGAGAAGAAGGTGTAAGCCCCCCTTCTCTCCAGATTATGTTCTTGTCTAAACGGAGAAAGAGATGGGCAAGCCAAGAGGCCCTCTCCCTCCCACGGTCTATGGCGACTATGCTTCTCTTCATGCCTAAAAAATGAGGAGATAGAGAGTAAAATAAAAAACAAACTCAGTAAAACTATTGAAAAATGAATTTATTTTCCGGAAAAGTCAGGCCCATTTAAAATTTTAAAAATCCTTAAAATCCTGAAAACCCTTAAAATTTTGAAAGCCCGGACCTTTCAAAATTTTAAGGATTTTAAGGAATTTAAGGCCTTTTAAATTCTTAAAATCGTTAAAATTTTGAAAGAAAATTAAATTATTTTCCGGAAAGAGGCAGGCCCATTTAAAATTTTAAAAATCCTTAAAATCCTTAAAATCCTTAAAATCCTTAAAATTTTGAAAGCCCGGGCCTTTCAAAATTTTAAGGGTTTTAAGGAATTTAAGGAATTTAAGGCCTAAGGAATTTAAGGCCTTTTAAATTTCTTAAAATCCTTTAAATCCTTAAAATTTTGAAAGAAAATTGAAATATTTTCCGGAAAGAGGCTAGCCCATTCAAAAATTTTAAAAATCCTTAAAAACCTTAAAATCCTTAAAATTTTGAAAGCCCGGACCTTTCAAAATTTTAAGGATTTTAAGGAATTTAAGGCCTTTTAAATTTCTTAAAATCCTTAAAATCCTTAAAATTTTGAAAGAAAATTAAATTATTTTCCGGAAAGAGGCAGGCCCATTTAAAACTTTAAAAATCCTTAAAAACCTTAAAACCCTTAAAATTTAGAAAGCCCGGACCTTTCAAATTTTTTATGGATTTTCAGGAATTTAAGGCCTTTTAAATTTCTTAAAATCCTTAAACTCCTTAAAATTTTGAAAGAAAATTAAATTATTTTCCGGAAAGAGGCAGGCCCATTGAAAATTTTAAAAATCCTTAAAATCCTTTAAAAATCCTTAAAATCCTAAAATTTTGAAAGGTTGGGGCTTTCAAAATTTTAAGGATTTTAAGGAATTTAAGGCCTTTTAAATTCCTAAAAATCCTTAAAATCCTTAAAATTTTGAAATAAAATTAAAATATATTCCGGAAAGAGTCAGGCCCATTTGAAATTTTCAAAATCCTTAAAATCCTTTAAATTTTGAAAGGTTGGGGCTTTCAAAATTTTAAGGATTTTAAGGAATTTAAGGATTTCAAGGAATTTAAGGCCTTTTAAATTCCTAAAAATCCTTAAAACCCTTAAAATTTTGAAATAAAATTAAAATATATTCCGGAAAGAGCCAGGCCCATTTAAAATTTTAAAAATCCTTAAAATCCTTAAAATTTTGAAAGCCCCAACCTTTCAAAATTTTAAGGATTTTAAGGATTTTAAGGGTTTTTAAACTTTTAAATGGGCCTGCCTCTTTCCGGAAAATAATTTAATTTTCTTTCAAAATTTTAAGGATTTTAAGAAATTTAAAAGGCCTTAAATTCCTTAAAATCCTCAAAATTTTAAAAGGCCCGGGCTTTCAAAATTTTAAGGATTTTAAGGATTTTAAGGATTTTAAGGATTTTTAAAATTTTAAATGGGCCTGCCTCTTTCCGGAAAATAATTTAATTTTCTTTCAAAATTTTTAAGATTTTAAGGATTTTAAGAAATTTAAAAGGCCTTAAATTCCTTAAAATCCTTAAAATTTTGAAAGGTCCGGGCTTTCAAAATTTTAAGGATTTTAAGGTTTTTAAGGATTTTTAAACTTTTAAATGGGCCTGCCTCTTTCCGGAAAATAATTTAATTTTCTTTCAAAATTTTTAAGATTTTAAGGATTTTAAGAAATTTAAAAGGCCTTAAAATCCTTAAAATTTTGAAAGGTCCGGGCTTTCAAAATTTTAAGGGTTTTCAGGATTTTAAGGATTTTTAAAATTATAAATGGGCCTGCCTCTTTCCGGAAAATATTTTAATTTTCTTTCAAACTTTAAGGGTTTTAAGAAATTTAAAAGGCCTTAAATTCCTTAAAATCCTTAAAATTTTGAAAGGCCCGGGCTTTCAAAATTTTAAGGATCTTAAGGATTTTAAGGATTTTAAGGATTTTAAGGATTTTTAAAATTTTAAATGGGCCTGCCTCTTTCTGGAAAATGATTTAATTTTCTTTCAAAATTTTAAGGATTTTAAGAAATTTAAAAGGCCTTAAATTCCTTAAAATCCTTAAAATTTTGAAAGGCCCGGGCTTTCAAAATTTAAGGATTTTAAGGATTTTTAAAATTTTAAATGGGCTTGCCTCTTTCCGGAAAATAATTTAATTTTCTTTCAAAATTTTAAGGATTTTAAGAAATTTAAAAGGCCTTAAATTCCTTAAAATACTTAAAATTTTGAAAGGTCCGGGCTTTCATAATTTTAAGGGTTTTCAGGATTTTAAGGATTTTTAAAATTTTAAATGGGCCTGCCTCTTTCCGGAAAATAATTTAATTTTCTTTCAAAATTTTTAAGATTTTAAGGATTTTAAGAAATTTAAAAGGCCTTAAATTCCTTAAAATCCTTAAAATTTTGAAAGGTCCGGGCTTTTAAAATTTTGGAAAACCCCTAAATTCCTTAAAATCCTTAAAATTTTGGAAGGCGAAGCAGGACCGTCAAATAACGCATAAAGGTCCTACATACATCTACATATATAGGTCGATATGAGCACATATGCACACATATGTATATATATATAAGATGTATATGTATATATTTTGCGCTTGCGTTCAAGAGCGAATATGTACGCATGTATGTATATGTATATGTACATGTACATGTACATGTATATGTATATGTATATGTATATGTATATGTATATGTATATGTATGTGTATATGTATGTGTATCTGTACATGTACATGTGTACATGTATATGTGTATGTATATGCATATGTAGATGTCTATGTTTATGTCTATGTCTAAGCCTATGTCAATGTATATGCATATGCATATGTTGATGTGTATGTACATGTACATGTACATGTATATGTATTGTACAGTATGTATGTGGAATGGCCCAGACAGTGCAATATTGCCAATGGTGGCTCAGAAGGTTATCCCTCGTCTGTGCCATGTTGGCTTCAAGGTCGGTCCAGACCCTTCATGACTGGGGGAACACTTCCTCGTCTTCAATCTGGTATGAGACCGACTGGATTGAGAGATTTGGCGTGCCTCGGGTCACTGGCTCTTGTTGGGATTTCTGGTTGCGCACCATGGGTCGCGCAGATTGTCTGCCGGTGCCCAGTAGTGAGTAGTGTTGCCCTGCATTGCGGCATTGTCAGCTAGGCGGATGGCAAAGCATAACCATGAAACCTCATCCTGCAAAAAGCAAGGGAGGAGGCAGCATCAAGCGAATCGTACTCCACGGCCTTTCTTGGGGACTCGTCGCGTGTTTTTGCTGTCCGTTTTGGCAAGATTGCTGCTATCTGAGGATTTGCACCCAGGGGAGCGTATCTTGCAGATCTCCTTCGGCAGCGGTTTCAAGTGCAACTCCGCCGTGGCTGGGCAGAAAAATCGTGAGGGCTCGAGGTTTACTTGTGTTTAATGTGATTCCTCTCTTCCAGTAGGCTGGCCTTGAATTATGCTTTGGACCCGGAAGCAGAGACATTGGCTGTTCTGAGGTTTGGGTTGCCTTGCGCGTGGACAAATCCAAGCAAGGACGTGGTCCGCCAATGCGGGTCCTTCCAACTACTGTAAATTGTTCACGACTAAGACACCCAAGTGCTGTGTCTGAATTGTGCATGCTTGATCTATGCTTGGCCCAGAGCTGCGAATGTGGAGCTGAGCGAGGTAGCTGGACAGACATTGTGACAATTCCTCTGCAGCAGGACAACCGTTGAAAGCAGACGCAGCCGAACCTCTGGTGCCTTCGGCTGCAAAGACTTAAAGACAAGCGCTCAGTGAACTGGTGCCCGTCAGGCGAGCAATGCGAGCAATGGAGAGGAATGCAAGGCTGACAATGACGGTTCTGTGAACGTGGGGACGAACGGCAAAAGCTGCCATGCAAACGGTGCCTCGGTTCCGTGCCAGCTGTTCCAGTCGTTCCGCTCCTGCTGCCTGGTGGCTTTGAGGTGGCTTTGATTGGTTCTGATCTTCATCTAAGGCACAAGCCTTCCCACCAATGGAAAGCATGAGAAGAAGAGCCAATAGCCGAAAGGGCCGAAAATGGCGAAGCCAACACAAACCGGTCTCTGCTCATTTGTCAAGCAGCGACTCGGGATCCCGGCATCCGGAGCCCCTCCGGCATCCCAGAGGCCGTCCTGGCACCGAGTGCCTAGCCTTGCGGGCGGTCTGTGCACATGTGGCTATAAAGGCCTGCACTCCGCGAATTCATGCATCTTAAAAACACCAAGCTGAGCCGGGCAGTGGCCAGCAGTGGCCAGCTGGGTCCACTTCCACAGCCTGTTTGTGGCAACCGAAATCGTCTTTTCTGGGCCCTTTGGCTTGTGCTTGGTGCGGTTTTGCCTACGTCTTGCTCTGGAGATCTCGCCGTCATTCGCTGCCGTAATATCGGCCGTGACGGACCAGTGACTTGCTCACATGCGCATCGCCCGGCGAAAATCGGTGCCTGGGCATTGTTCAAGGACAGGGAGCTCTCTCTGGACGCAGGTGAACCTCTGCCGTGGCTGGGCAGAGGCTTGCCGGAGAAGCAAGCTGGAAGCCATTGCCGTCTACTCACCATGCAGGGATGTAAATTCCCCGACAAGGAGCAGCCTGCTTCTGAAGGGCACCAGCTTGATGTCAGCGTGGTGCCCTCGGTTCTTGTGTGTCGGTGCTGCTCTCTGCATGGCAATGCAATTAACAGTGCTCTGCCTCGATGCCAAAGCAGGCGGAAGATGCATACACTTTCAGCGCAGAGCATGGCGAACCTGTGGCAGGCTGTCATGGAGTAGGAAGTTTGCAATTCCCACATCGTTTGTGTTGGTTCACACAGCCCTTTGTGGCGGCGAAGTCTGTAGCGAGCGAGCGAGAGAGAGGAGCGAGAGAGCGAGAGAGAGCCGCCACTTGGAGAATCTATAGTACGCACCACGCAGTTTTGGAGTTGCTGGTGATTCCGGTGAGGTTGTCAAAAGTTAGCTTTTCTTGCGCCTTCGCCTAAGTAGATCAGAAAGTTCCAAGCCCCGCGCCAGGCCTTTGCAACTCTGCTCGTGCTGGGCGAAGTGTCGCCGGCGGCTCTGTGACATCTTAGCACTGCTAGACTTCAAGATCGGGATTTGAAAACTTCTCAGGTTTTCAGATGTGTCAGGGAGTTCTTGGCATCAGAATGCATCAGACATATCAGAAAAGAGCGTTGAAGGCAGATCCCTGACCCAGTTTCACTGACTGCGGGGTTAATCGGTACCCCGACGACCGGTGAGATGCAAGTTCATTGCATTTCATGCCGACATGCGCCCCGATGGAAGCCATGAGGATGATTGCCGCAGCTGCAGCTGCCAGTGGCAAAGCCAAAGCCATGCAGCTCACCGCCCAAGGATGCCTAACGGGCTGAAGGGGGGGGAGAATGGCTGCTTGATCGCCTTTATGGGCATCACCCCCGGCTATCTGTGCCATCCCATCCAGCTGACTTCTTGAAGGGGCTTTGCCGCCGAACATACATGTCAGTACATGTGATGAATCGACTCTTGAACTTCGCCATGCGAGGACTGAGCAACACAGTGCAGTCACCGGCCGTGGCGGTACTCTTTGAGAAGCTTCTGCTGAACTCCTGGCCTCCATTTTCATTCCGTGTGGTGGTTTGATGTTTTTCTGAAGCTCGTGACGAGTGGGTGGGAGAAATTTGCCGAACACGGCCGTGAGATTTTATCTCCAAAATTGGCGTCCTGTGCTGCAAAAGCTGTGTCAGGCTTGAAGCCGCGAAGGCGGAAGGAGCTCGTGCGCAGATCGTTCAGCGGCCAACGAGGTTTGTCGAGGGGCGACTTGCGTGTGCAGAACTGTGCGAGGTATTCGCGAGCCCAACGAGCAGAATATTGCCAACAGTGGTGCCTCCGCAAAAACGAGTGGGGTGTCTTGCGCATCAGAAGCTCCGTGCACGCACGCACACGCCCATCTGTACGTCAGTATTGCACTATCATTATTACATTATGCTTTCGTGAGGTCGAAGCTTCACCAGCGCGAGTCACTTGCAGACGCCACCACTCACTGCGCTCACGGAGCAGGCCATGTCCCGAAATTGTGGTTCTCATCAACGATCCAGACGATCCGCACGCAGTTGAAAGCAGTCGGCTGAACTGTGCCCGGTTCTTGTGAAGGCGAGAGAGACTTTGTCGGATTGGCAGGACGGCGCAACTGGCTTTCATCATGCAGCCATGAATCTGGCTCCATTCATGTTTGCTACCGTGGGCATTTTGTTATTCTTGGCCCTGGGTGCGCTGAGGCTGTTCAGCTTCCCAGCCATTTTCGTAAAGCATCTTGATAGCCTACCTTGCTTTCATCCGAGTTTCTGGCACTCTGCCACTCTGCACTCATGGCGGGACTCCTGCAGGCCCCGCCAAAGCTTAAAGTTGTGCCCTTCCAGCTAGACACTACTCACCATTGATGCTCCCTCCAACATGTCGGGAAGGAGATGCGTGTGCGTGCTGCGAAAAACCAGAAAGGGTCGCGAGCCTTGACCTGGGGGCGCGCTGCAGCACGGGGAAGAAGACTTCGGAGAAGAAGGGGCACGCACCCTTTCGGGCGACCCCTCTTGGGAGGTTATGTGTGCAGGAAGCAAGGAGAAGGATCAGCAGCGGTAATTTACCAGTTTACCACATAGTTGGTTCAAGAGCAAAGTCCGCTTTGCTTCAGCATGTCATGTACTGGATGCGATGGGCCCGGGTCGCAAGCGTCCCCTTTCGCTGCCCCCTCCCGGCTTCCCGCAGCCCCACTCCAGTTTGTAAATGCGGGTCGATGCAGTTCGACCTGTATGCAGGAGCAGGCCCTCTCCAACCTCGTGCCAAGCTCAGGAGTCTCCAATGTTCCGCTGCCTAATTTGTTTAGCGGCCCAGTGATGTCAGGCGTGAAGCTCTGCACGCCTTCGTCTTCAGGCGTGGGGCGCAGGAAGGGAAGAAGAGGGGATCTTGAGACCTGAGATATCCTGAGACAAACGCGCAAAGCCACAAATAGCCGTCCAGGTAGTCGGAGCATCGATTGCTCACATCAGGATGGCGTGGTCATCGAGATTCCCGTTGTCACGGCTGCCTCGCAGATGGGCAACCTCACCCTTCAGGGCTTGGCCAATGCCATGGCACTCAGGCTCACTCAAGTCCCAACGATTTGGGCACACCAACGTTTCCCGCACCTTTTGCTCTTTAGTACCCTTTAGTACCCAGAGGATCCATCAGCAGTTCCTTTGTCATCCGTGGGACTCGCCTGAGGCGGGCTCAGCTCAGCCCTAGATCTCAGGTCGCCTGGTGACTCGTCGAACTGGAAGCTCATGGAGCTCCGTTGATGGGGACTGCCGGGATTGAAATAACACACGCTCGGCATCCGGAGTTCATCAGGGGTCCCGGAAATTCAGAGAGTCCTTCAGAAAAAGGCGAATACAAGCGATTTGCTTCGCATGGACAGGAAAAGGAAACATGTGTGCGGCGGTGCCCGGTGCTCTGCAGCCAGCATAGACTGGCATGCAGTGAGAGCGCTGGCTAAGAAAGCAGAAATTCCACGTCAGGGTGCCCTTGGGTTCTCGTAAAGTTGAGGCCCCCGATTTCCTTGAGATTGGGTTTTGAAGGTCCCGCCATTTGGACCGGCAGGGTTCTGAAAGAGGAGGCCCACCAACAGCAAATGAAGACCAAATGGCGGCTCTTTCTGCAGAAACAAAGAGCTGCTAAAGAGAACACATCTGCGCTTAAGACAATGAGTCGGCTGAAGAGCTGATACCCAAAACAAGTGCGAGACAAAAAAGCAGAACGAAACTAAGAAATTCAGGGGCTCCGACTGCCTGGGCATGACAGCACATGGGTTGATTGGGGGGGGCCTTTCGAAGCCGCACAAAACGACCCAAGGAGGCCCCCAGACACTTTGCTGTGTCGTACTGCCATACCTTCCAAGACAACTTGCATCAGTGAAGAAGGTTCCTCCTAGGAAAACCTATGTTTTGCCTATGCTTTGATGTCTTCTCAAATTTGCTCGTTAGTCGGCGTCGGCCGTCTGCGATCTGCTGGAAGTCTAAATGGAAGCTGCGCGGCGAATGCGGAATTCATGATGATGGCAGGTTCGCAGAAATGGGTTCATACACCATGATGCGCAATCGCTGGCAGGAAGACATTTCGCCGTGCCATGACTAAGTCCATGCCTAAGTCGGGGTGCTCTCAGCCAACACGAGGATTAGCCATGCACGGCTGATGAGCATAAACCCAGAACATGTTGCCCTGCAATCCTGTAGCAAGGATCAGCATGGCAAGTGTTTCAGCGTGCATTTGCGATCTTCCTGCAATCAGTGTGGTCCGAGGTTGCAGACAGCCGCCACAGCCTCAGATCTTTCGATCTCTTCACTCTTGACTGCTGTGCGAGCTTATGTCGTAAATGTTAAATGTCGTGATGCTCGCACTTGTTTGGGGTATGTCCTGAGTGACTTGGATCTGCCGTATGAAGCAGATTCACTGGCCGAAAATGCTTCGGCAATTTGCTCGTCTTGCAGCCAGGCCGAGGACGATATCGAGGCCAAACCAGTAGCGGCGTAGCGATGTTCCAGTTGCTGTGAGAGCCCAGACCAACCCCCCTGCCAGGGTGGCCTCCGGCCTGCATAAGACCCCCCCCCCAGGCTGTCCTGAGCCTGTCGCAAGCGCTGGCATCTTGCGGCCTCCTCACCTCAGAGGCCAGTCGGGGAACCTCGAGCGCTGCGTCGGCTCCCCTCCCCTCAATTGTCTTCAACTTCCATAATATGACTACTCGGGGAGGGGGCACGAGGCC